TGACTGTCATAGGCTGGCTTTTGGAATGCACATTACCTGCCAGTTTCTTGACCTCAAAAAATAGAACTCAGTGAACAGTTAAGCCTTTAATTAAATATGTTCTGACAATTGTTTCAGTCACTGATAACTATGATCTTGTTTCTATTGAATTACAATTATAACATTGGAGTAAAAAAATTGCAGACTTTGTACTGGCTTGTTATAAATATAACATAATGCATACTCTGTTCTCTGTTATTTAACCATATTTGAAGAAGAATACTCTCTAGTCTGCAGAATTTTGTCTTGCATTCTATGGGTAAAATCCTTTAAGATGTCATTATCCATGTTGATACAAGTTTGCACTCTATTCTAAAGCAGATGGGTAAAATATGAACAAAAGGGGATGTCTTAGGTTCCAAGCATTAGGTATAAAATATTTACTGTTCCACTTGATTAGTTTTCAGTCATGAACCCTTGCTGGATCTTCTTTTCTTTCTGATGCAAATGCACTATACTATGGTGCCATAGATAAAACCTTTGCAACATCTCACTTCCTCAGTGTCCACCTTCAAGATCTAATAGCACTTCAGATAAGATTTTTCCTCCTGTGTCTAATGGAGTCTCGGTGCCTTCACATCCCAGAAGTGGCTCCATTTAACGGCTGCATCTCTATGCCAGTTCTAATGATGTTATATTGTACTTGTCATAACCCATTCTATTTTCTAAAAAGCATTATTGTCAGTACAGTACTAATCATCATGACTAAAAGTGCCAGAACTTAGCCTATAGCTTCTAATATTTTCTGAAACCCATGAGTGTAAAATTTAAGCTTAAATAAGCAGAAGGCACATCCAGCTAAAAATTATATTTTTTTCAACTACAAGTATTCAGTGTGGAAAACACTACAGGTGACTGGGATAGACAACTTTAATTAAAGATAATTGTTTCCACCCTTAAGCCCTCAGAAACAACTCTGAATTAAGTCACAGACATGAACATGCGAGATCTTTATCTACAGGAGATATTTTGTTATCAATTTGAAGTGAAATCTCTGAGTCCTCCAAAGAATCAAGTGCCTTTATAATATCTCAAATACTAAAGGAGAGACCTTTTTTTGGCAAGATGGAGGATACTTCATTTAATATTAAAAAAAGTCTAAAGTTCTGTGTGGCAGTTGGCAAAAGAGGTTGAAATCCAGACATTGGGATCAAACAACTGATGACAGTAGAAACATTATGTTATTTTGTGGACCTGAAAAGACCTTTCAGTATCCAGGTGTCTGTGGTTTTCCTAAATATAGCATTTACAAAGACAAGTCACAAGCTTGATTTTATTGTCACTTAGCTACTATCTGTGATTACTACTGCAGCTGTGTGTCATTTTTTGAATGCCGTTTTCAACTTTCAACAGCTTAATTTGCTTGAGGTAGAAAACATTCTCTCATCTATTTCTGTTTGTTAGATCATATATCTGCATTTTATGTATAAATCCACTATAATTTTAGCATACTCTGTCAAAATGTCTCAGAAAAAAATAAGGTTCCAGAAACAGTTTTTAGACAGACAACAACAGTGATGGCAGTCTAGTCCCTATAAAAGGAGAAACTGAGGCAGCGATGTTGTGCTGGTTTCACAACAATATGGAAAATTCCTGGCTCACAGTCAGGAATGTTACAGTATATGTTAACACTTATATATACTCACAGTATATGTTAACACTTACACCCTGAAAGTTTGACTCAACTGATATTTAAAAGCAGAAAAAAATCCCAACTTTTCCTAGAGAATGTTCTTAGTTATTATACCATGATCCTGACTTTCAATTTTGTTCTTAGTTTTGATGGCCAAGAATTGAGATGTTTGACTTAACCCTGGCAAGCCTACATAGTAATTTATTCCTGTGACCAATCCTTTTTTAGGAGACTTTCCTCTGAAGTCAGTCTTGGGAGAGAAATCACATTCCAGAATAGCAGTGCAGACACATGGGATCTGTTTGATCTCTGCTTTTAGCCCAAAGTCTATGTTTACTGGGGAGTGACTTGTTATGTTTTGATATAGTAATGGTAGTATTCCACAACCACTAAAACCTTGTCTAAAAAAAGCAACCCTATTTTATTAAGAAAAACTATGCATAAATCTTTTTTAGATGTTTTTTGTAACCCAATTCCCAGGAAGAAAAAAAATCATACTGCAAAGGAAAAGATAGTATTATAGAAAATTGCTAACTCAGACACTGAAAATAGTTCAACAAATGAAAATAGCAAATAAAAAAAAAAGAAAAAATATTCAGTCAGGTTTCAGGTAACTATGTATACAGTGTACCGTTGCACAAGTGCCTAATAACACAATTGTCATAGCAGTGAACCTAAGCTAGCTTGACAGTGCTAAACCATTGGGGCTTTTGTTTCAGCCAAGTTCTGAAAATTTAGTATGTAACACGAGGCAGAATTGCAACTTCTGGAATAAATTTACAGCCTCAGAAGCTGGGCTCCTCTCCAGGGTGCTGATGCAACAGTGCAGTTTTGCTCTGCACTCTCTGAGCATTTAGTTATTAACTGGTTTCATTCTGATACAATTTTTTTTTTTAATGAATGAAGAATTAAGTGCAGAAGTTGACTGAAATTACTTGGCTCATTGTAAAGTTGCTATGAAAAACAAAACAAGCTAAAATCTCCATCCAATATGCAGAAAGAAAAAAAAATCAAAACACAGTTTAGATTTTACGCTTGAGTCTCTCCTTTGCATTTCCTTCTGCTCTGGAAGTGATCAACAATGGCTTGTCTAGTACAAAGTTAAAATGAATGTTCTGCAAATACAAACACAGGATCATCTTTTTATCCTTCCCAGCTCAAGCATTTATCTCTCTATCTGGGGAAAAAAACATGACTAGAATGTTGTCCCCAAAGCTACCTTCTAATCAAATTGGAACTGACTTGCCCATATGCTAAAAGCTCCCTTACATGACAGAACAAATCATTACTCCAATGGTAATTTTCTTCAAAAGGTTGTTTATTCACATTGTACATCATTAAATCTGTGATGTTAGAGCATGAACAGTTCAGATCTGGAACATGAGGTCTTCCTGAGAAACCTGGAGGATTGATGAATCACTAATGGTAGCAATGATAAAAACATAAATGCGAAGATCCATGGTAAAATGAGCACTTCAAGCCATGTCACTGCCTCCCAGAAGAGCAACAACAGTGCCAGGTAAGTAGAATGAAAAATCCTAGCCTTGAGATACTTGTTGTGGGTTTAAGGCAAACTACTCTCTAGGTAAAGACTCTGTCTACAGACAAACCCCCCTACAGTTCCACTGTGAGGGGGCTCTAACATGAGCTCAGCTAGAGTTTTAGACATTATAAAACCTCCATGGAAAGAAGCTGCAGAAAAACAGATTTTATAAGTTCTGCTGTTCATGGATTTACTTGGCTTATTTTCATTTCTGTTGGCACATCCTAGCTCTAATAAAGTGATTTTTAAAATCACTTATACTGAATTCTAACTTAAAATATCTTGTACACTTAGAAAAGCAGTAACCTCTTAATATAGATCATAAAGAGATCAAAATGTCAAATAATAATTTTTGCTTCATTTTTAGGTACAGAGCACTTGTTTTATATCATAAGCACCAAACTGCTTACTGAATGAGTAGTTCTTAATGTTTCTCCTGCAACCAACTTTGCAATATCCTGGTCTAAACTGATTCCACATTCAAAAAGAATTCTGCACCATTTTATACCAAGTCCATAATTTCTGGAAGATCAGTTACGTTTAATCTACAGATCTCCAGAAATTCTGTTGCTATTGCTTTGGGGCAGTACAGAAATCTGAGAAATGCACTCTTAAAATGTCCTCCTTACTCATCTACCAGAGGATAGGTCACATGGCTGGTTTATGATATCTGGATAACATTGACAAAATGCTAACCTTTCCAGCCATATTACTGTTAGAAAGAAATTTTTGTTGTTGTTGTTAGGAAGCAAGCCTATAAAATGTAGTCATAAGGATGTTACCTTTATGCCTACACTGGATCCCATTGTAACTAGCATTGCATATGTTAATTCCCCCCCCCCCCTCCCGACAGTGAAAGCTTGCAGATTTTTGGATACTGCTACATAAAGGTGTTAAGTAAGGTTTCCATTTGTTTCGCTTGCAAAGTTTTCAGAGTGAAGTGATTGATGTAAAACTGAACTTTGGTCATTTAAAAACACACTGGAGTTTGTACTTTGATTTCTGAGTACTTTGATTTTTGACTTCTGCCACTTTAAAGTTTGATGCAAGCTACAGCAGAGCAACTTGAAAAAGGAAGGAATTTTTCCAATACTACATTCAGTCTGGGTTTTTATTTGGATATTGGAATCTCTGAACATTCTTTCCAACTACAGATATTATATGCCCTGTTACTTCAAAACCAACAGGAGGTATTCCCTCACCTGCAGCGGTAAATGGATGATGCCTGTTACGCTAGAAATCCAAATTCCTGTGCATCTTATCTATGTGTTTCCATGTAATATCGTCATGGGGCAAATACTGCCTCCGAGGAGTGTACATTTCCCTCATGAAACTGATGGAACTAATCTTTTCGGTAACTGAAAATGTCAAACAATCAGCATTTGTCCAAGGGACCTTATATCAGTATCTAAAAACGAGTGCAGAATGAGGAATCCTGTCATCGTAGGTCTGAGAAGGATGAATGAAAGTTTTCCCGAGGAAGTCCCTTTACCAGGGGAAAACTGCAGCGCATGAGACGAAGGCAGCACCGACTCGACCCTTCTGTGCTCCCCGCTCTCCGCGGACGGAGTACGCGGCTCTGGAGCCCGCTCCCGAGCGGTCTTCACCGCCGCTCCCGCAGCCGGCGGGGAGCGGGCTCCGC